TTTGCAACTTGAGAAGAATTTAATAGTAGCTGAGCTTTCAAAATGAAACAGAGAAACTGTCATTTTCTTCCACAATTAAAATAAGTGGTTCTGAAAATTTCAGGATAAGAATGACCCAAATTACCCCCCCACCACCACCACTTCTCCATCCAAAAGACGGGAGAATAGAGTTTGAAGAGAACATCTGTTGGCAAATGAAAGACAAATGGTCTTTTCAGGCAAATGTCTAAAAAAGGGATCTTTTATAGCCAAACAGAATACTATTGCATGCATCACCATGGTTAAGAAGAGGATCAACAATACTTTCATAATGGCTTTTTATTTTAGCACATTCTATTTTTATGGATAGAATTATGATTTCAACACATCCATTCATAATTCATCATGTAATTATTTGCATAAATATCTTTTGACATGGATTTAATGTACTTTTGCCAGCCGCATCTTGAATTTAATCTGTTAAATGCTTTAAGACAATCTCAGTGCAAATAATACTACAGGAGATTGGATAAAGAAAAACTTTTCCTTATGTCCAAAGGGAATGACCTACTATAGAGCACGTTAAAAGCAGAAGCAGAGAACAGTGAGAAAGTGTTCTAGTAATTAAGGTAAGCAAGGATGGTAGCTTAGACAAAAATGGTAATAATAGAGATAGAAAGGCTATACATATACTAGAAAATAAATCTGATATAACCCGCTCCTGGTTTGGTCAAGAGCTCTTTAAAACTGAACAAAAGAGTTAGAGTTCATACCAATACTATATACCTAAACCAATAGAAAGGGATAATAAATAAAATGCCATTTCCTTGAATATAGAAGACAGAGAAGAGCAGTTTTTGTTGGCACATGGTGAATATTATGAGATCAGTTTTATCCATATTAAATCTATTGGATTAGGGAGCCTGTCCAGTGATAGGAATTTTTAAATTACTAAAGAATATTGTTTGTAGCATATTCTTAGAAAATTGATGGAACTTTCAGGCAGTTGTTCACTGTAAGGAAAATAAAGTGCAACCTATTAGGGCCATAAGGAAGATTAAAATGAGTTGGCAAACAGATTATGAGATGGTTTTAAGAGAATTGGCCTTCAAAATGCTTAGAAGAGGTAGCTATGTGCAAGAGTGGCGAGGTGTGGTGTGTGTGTGTGTGTGTGTGTGTGTGTGTGTGTGTGTGTGAATTTAAGCAAACGTTTATAATGCTTATAGACCATCAAATGTCTTAAAAGCAGCAACAAATGCCAAAAGAATATAAAGTAAAATGTTCAGATTGACAAAAGTCGCTAAACATGGTGATGAGTGGTGGAAATAACTGGGCTAGCCTGGGCTCCATAGCAAAGTCCAGGCCAACCTGAGATACACAGTGAGACCCTGTTTTCAAAACAAAAGGTTTGTTTAAATAGTTAAATATGTTCAGTTCAAAATTTCATACCAAATGCCGGGTGTGGTAGCACATGCTTTTAATTTCAGCACTCTGGAGGTAGAGGCAGAGGCAGGTGGACCTCCATATGATCCAGGCCAGCCTGGACTACATAGTGAATTACAGGCCAGCTAGGGCCACAGGGAGACCCTGTCCCAAAGACAAACAAAAATCTCCCAAAATGTTATACCAGGTCAAGCTGTTATTCAAATGTAAGTAGTTTAATATTTGGGGACAAAAAACTTAAAAGAATTTGACACTCGCAGACTATGCAGAAGCTTCTACAAGATACACTTATTTGAGCATAAACCAGAAAAGGATGATCTAAACCTAATGGAAAAATAATGTATTACAGATTTAATTCTCCTGAGAAATACATTTATCATGTATTTTAAGATCTCAAGCTTCTTTTAAGTTGTTTTTATTTTAGCCCCTGATAAGAATCAGCTATGTCATGCATCAGTTGTTACTGTCTTGCTTTCATTAAATTTTTTATAATAATAGAAACAGAAAGAAGTACAAATTAAATTTCTGTCAATCAGCATGAACAATTCCTTGGGTTCTACTAAAAAATATTGTACAGTATCATAAACTTGCACCTCGAATGTGCATAACACCATGCTTGCTCGTGACCTGAGGGAAACTTCACTCTCAGGAGCTTATTTATGTGTATGAATAAGGAACAGTTTCAAATACAAGTTTTTAAAGAATCTTTTATAGTGAGGCTGTTTGGGAGTTACCAGACCACACATATATTTAATAATATTCTAGAATAACTCATGGGATACAGCATATACTTGTACTCATGATAAGATTTATTATACTTATGCACTGAGGATGCATAACTTAGTAAGAAAAAGAGATGCTTGTGATATCTGGAAAAATCCATGTGCAGGCTGTCTGTTTATTCATATTCTCATTCATTCTCTCTTTTTCTCTTTCCCTCCTCTCTCTCTCTCTCTCTCTTTCTCTCTCTCATCATGTGGGAATCTTTTGCCTAACAACTACTAAATGGACAAAACTATTATCAACTAAGGAAGCTTCATATCAGTTCTCATAGACTTGCTAGCCAGGGCCAACCCTACAAATAGACCCTGCTAAGATTGCAGCCTCTAGGCCTGCTATATTAACTCTTTTCTGCACAGACACCTAACTATATAGTTTTAATTTTTCTCATTATCTTCAGAAGCATATAATTCAATTAACATTTTCATTTTAGAACATAAAAATGTCACTTGTAAAATGAGGAAATACCTCTTTAAAAGAAGTCCATCTTAATATTTACATATTTATAAGACATCTGATCTTTATTGAATATAGATAAATATGTATTGAGTGCCTCAGAGTTCTCAGTTGTCAACCGTATTTATACCAGTTATAATCTGAAATCATGATCTTTATGAAAATACTGTGTATAGGGAAAGACAAGATTATCTTGCTAAAAAGAAAACTGTAGAGCATAAACCATGGTTTGTGTAAATTTTTAAGTACACCCTCAAATTCTAAGGATACCAAAATCATAGGAGGAGGCTGTGGGCATAGATCAGTAGTAGGGCACTTGTTAAGCATGCATGAAGCCCTGTGTTTGATATCTAAAACCATAAAATACTAAATATATAAATATGGAAGGTGTAATACATTATATATGTAAGTTCTCAGAAGCTGTTATTGATATAGCTTCCTAAAATCAAACCACTACCATCTTTATCATTTTCCCTTTTAAAATTTTATTTTTAATTTATATGTATGAATATTTTGCCTCTGTGTGTGTGTGTGTGTGTGTGTGTGTGTGTGTGTGTGTGTATACAGCATATGCATAGCTGGTACCTGTAGAGTTTTAAAAGAGGGCATCAAATTCCCTGGAACTGGAGTTACAGACAATTGTGAGCCCCCATGTGTGTGCTGGGAGCTGAACCTAGGTCCTCCCCAAGAGCGGCAAGTGCTCTTAACTGCTGAACCATCTCTCTCTATCCCCATCATCTTTGTCTTTTTTCAAAGTAATGACCTGTAAAATTATAATTACTTGAGGAAAAACAAAAAGAAGAAGTGAAATCAGTAATTATATGGCCAAACAATATGGGGAAAATAATTATATGTAAATTAGCTGTACTTAAACACACTAGCCTGTATTATTTGAGGTACTATTTTGAAACACAGCACTCAAAAAAATTAACGCAGCATTATGTGTTGTTGTCTTTTATACTGTCTCCCACAAATCAGTTGTAAATTTCTAGAGCGATGGTTCCTGCAAAGATTGATATACTTACATATGTGTGTGTATTTATGTGCGTTTGTGTATATACATGTACCACATAAATTATTTATATTTCTTTGATACTTGGGTGATTGTTATTTGGGGGGTTTTTGTGTGTCAGCAGATTATGTGGCCCTTATCTTTACAGCTGGTATCCATCCATAATATAATAGGTGCTAGATGTTTATAAATCATATAAAGAACAGAAATGTATGTAAATATGTTACTATAAGTACATTAAATAGTAATGTATATTTATTATAGAAAAATCAGCAAATTTTATATGAACAAAATCCATTTGACCCTTGTAGAGATTTACCTTTGCAAAGGAAAAGTCTGTTACCCCAATTCACTTTAAAGAATGTCTGTGAGTTAAAAGCACACATGCCATCTCTGTTCCCTCTTGGTTAGCTAATCATAGTTAATCTTATTACTTCAGTGAACAATCTATCTCAGTATACTATCTGACTGGAGCCTTGATTTATACTCATTAATTGAAAGTTAGGTCAGTCAATACAGCTCTAGGTTTTTCTACAGACATATTAAGCTGTTCAGGTAGTTAGTATTGAGTTATAAGGCAGGCAGGTCTTGCTTGTTTGGTTATTTAACTAGAGAGATATGGTTTAGGGAGCATAGTTCAAGACAACCATTACAGTGACATCCCATGGAAACCAGGTGGGAGGAGAGAGATAAAAGCATAATAGGATGTTATGGTCAATGAATTGGATGACTCAATAAACATTTTTTCATTGATAGACTAGTGCTATTAGACTATATAATAAGCAAATATCAGAGGCAGTGGCAGGAATATTTTCAAGATTCCAAACATATAGTCATGGCTGTAGGTAGCTGAGGAGTAGGAAGGTAAATATGTTCAGAAGCCAGAGATAAAGAGTTGGGGTGCTGACATCATCTACTTGAAGATTAGTCACCAGTAATAGTGATATACAAAGGGATGAGAAGATATTGATCCAAGTGCTTATTTGGAGATTTTCTAATATTTTTGTGAGAATCAGGTGACATGTCATATGACAGAGCACAATCAAACTCTCAAAGGGTATGGCTGTATGTATGTGGGTAAGAGCACTTAGTTTTACCAATTCTTCTTACCCTGAAATCTGCCAACAAAATGAAGCTAATGATCATAACCTCTCCTGCTTCATGGGAGATTAGGAAATCAAGTGATGTGATATATTAATTTATTTTGAAGTACTGAGGAGGAATCGCTTCTCTAACCAGAGTTTGGAGTCATCATTTAGTTTGTGAGAGTTTTGTGTAGTCCAGAAGTTCTCTGGATCAGGATAAAAATCTTCCCCATCTTTAATTTCAGACATTTCAGCAGTCCTCTCTGCAGCACAAGTCAAAGAAGAAGAACAAAGGTAAGAAAGTGAACCCTCTATCTACTTCTTTTGCATTGTGCTAATCACCAGCACATTTGGCTCATCCCCTCATTGCCTGAAGCCAGTGTGATTTCAGATCAGTTATTGTACACATATTGTCTCAGCAAGTCTTGAGACCAGAATTACATATTTCTGATTAAGTTATCATTTATGTGGAAGAAAGAGGATTAACAATCTCCATATTGTGTATGCTAATACACTGGGAAATGACATGGTTAATAAGTATCTGATTTATTTTTAGAATGTATAGGCTAATATTTTTAACTTGAGAATTTCATATGTGAGTACTCTCTATTTGCATTATTTCCTTCTTCTCTCTCCCCTTCTAACTACTCCCATGTCTGCCAACCCCCCTCTCCCCTCCCAAATTCATGAACTCTTCTCCTGTAATAATTTTTGATATATATATATACATGTACATACATACATACACACATGCACACGCACACACATGCACGCACATAATATATGACCTACTGAGTCTAATTCGTGTTGCCTTATATGCATGTATTAGGGATGTAGAAAATTTTCCTACATCCATGTTGGTTTGTCGACTGATGTGGTCTGTGCAGTCCTTGTGCTGAGAACCATGTTGTTGAGAGTTCATAAGAGCAATATCATCCCTGTCCTGTTCAGAAAAAGCTATCATGCAGCAGTCGTCCTAGTCCTCAGGCTCTTAAACTCTTTCAGCCCCTTCTTCTGTGATGTTCCCTGAGCCAGAGGTATAGGGGTTGTGTTATATATGTGGCATTTGGGGCTGGGCACCCCCATGGTCACTTATTCTCTCCATTTGACCTGTTGCATACCTCTCTCATAACCTCTGTCTACTGCAAAAGGAAGCCTCTTGATGAGGGCTGAGAGCAACACTTATCTGTGGATATAAGGGTGTGTATTTAAAAGGCAGTTGGAAACTATATTACTTTAGTGATATGATAGTATTAAATTCTTCTCAAGGCCCTATGACCTCTCCATCCATAGATTCTTTAAGTTTATAGTTCCAGTTATGCGTTCCTCCAATGGAGTGTGCTTTAGGTCCAATTAAACAGCTGTTGGTTGCCCACAAGATACAAATGCCACTATTGCACTGTTGGGGATATCATGCCAGTCATGTTTTTGGTGATTCTCAGGCTTTACAGCTGGGTAGGAGTGTTGATAACTTTTCTCACCTGGCAGCTTGCATAGCAACTTCAAACATTATGAGAACTACCCTTCAGGGAGGCGATTTCTAGGTCAGTGTCAGCTTGTTTCTCCAAATCCAGTCCTGTGACAGAAGTGTGTGATGTCTTCAATAATAGGGTCTTAACTTTATGTTCTAGAAGGTAATCAAGAGCAATAACAATACCCCATATTGTTTGGGGGGGTCTCTTGGACCAACAACTCAAAGGGAGGTATCCCTTGCCTGGCATTGGGATTTTTGTTAGTCCTGGGGAATGCTCCTGGGGAATGCATTATCCCACTGTGTTGGGCATCTCCATTAAAGTCATATATATATATATATATATAATGTATATGTTAAGGTTATAAAATATTTTATCTTTATACCTTATCCAAAATTTAAAGAGTATTATCACTCATTATCCTTAGGGCCTATAGCAGGCAAGAGCAAAAGACGAATTTCTTGCAAGGATCTTGGCCGTGGAGACTGTGAGGGCTGGCTTTGGAAAAAGAAAGATGCAAAGAGCTATTTTTCACAGAAATGGAAGAAGTACTGGTTTGTCCTAAAGGATGCATCCCTTTACTGGTATATTAATGAAGAGGTAAGGCAAGGAACTTTTGTATTCTTATCCATCTGTCTTTAGCCAAAAGTGTCAGCATTTGAGTCTTGTATTTTAAAGTCAAACACAACTTAAAGCCGGTTAAGGAGATTCTGCTTTTTTCATTCCATCTTCCTAAAACGATTATATTTTGAGATTCTGGAAGAACAGTTGTCTCAATCTGTCTAATGTAGCAACATATCTGAAGCACAGTTAAAATATAGTGAAATTTTATGTATGTAAAAATACAAAGCTAAATTCAAGTAGTATAACTAAAAGGATTATTCATGGAAATTTCAAGATTTTAAAATGTCTTTCTCTTGCTCAAAGTTTTATTGAATTTTTTTGTTCCTATTTTGGAGGATAGAACACTTAGGAGTGTAAATAAATCAGTATTAACTTTTATTTATTTCAGTTTGTTTTAGAGAAAAAAATGAATTGGTTGACTAATTTTGAAAATTATAAGTATTCATTACATTTAGCCAACTTGAGGGGAATGGTGTGTTTAATGCATTTTAATTGTTCTTATGACTTTCTACTAAACTAATCATATCACAATCAATCATATATCTCAAGAGACATGTCAAAATATACTTTATTCATTGATATTCTCTTGATATTGCTTTGATTTGTTTACCATAGTTACCTGTCATATCCTAAGACATTCAGCAATGTGCATTTGAATATTAATTGTTGAAAGTTAGCATCATTATTATATGTTTCATTGTGACATACAGTATCTAGAGAATTTGATGTTCCCTGAACAGGCCTGCTACACTCTCTTTTATTATGGTCAAAAGAGTAGATTCACACTGAGTGATTGTGTTACTTCTTCTTCTGCAAAATGGGAGTAATAATGCATATCTCATTAGTCTATCCTATAGAATTAAATGAATCAATGAGTGTAATGCCTGCTTTGAACAACACTTAAGTCATGTGTATCAAAAAGAAGACTTCTTTGGAAAATCTTAAATTGATTTCTTCCTATTTACCTGTATGAAAAATTTGTTTTCTGTTGTTTTGATATTTTTGTGACAGTCATATAATTATCTAAAATATTCTGATTTTATTAAGTATGCTTTGCTTTAGGCATAGTAAGCAAACCAGAACTTTAAATATATTTTCATTTGATAAATATACTAAATACTTTTCATATGCTAATCAAGTAACATCAAGATACAGTATCTGTTTCTCTTTATTGTGACTTGTTTACAGATTTGTCTGCTAGATAATATATTCTTTGAATGTTTAAGTGATGAAAATTGTGGTTCTTTTTATTAAACAGTGACTATATTTCCATTATTGGCAAGTTATGTTAGCCTTGTAAAATATGAGTGAATAATTTGTTACATACAGTGCAAGAAAAGCCTTATTGTGACTGTTAGGGAAAATATAATATTTTTCATCATTATGGAGAGATAATATTCCAAAATATTTTAAATTAATGATATCATCAAAGACAGCATAACATGGAAATCAAAACTGAAAAAATCATCTTTAATCCAATTAGAAAAACAATTCAAAAACTGAAAAAGTTGATCACTGCTCCTGTATACAACACATGAATTCAGTCTCCATCTCTGTGTAGCATCACATTTCTAAGTTTTGCATATTTGATTAATTACAGAAAACACACACACATGCACACATAAAGAGAACTGAGAGCCACTTTTTCTTCATTATAGTGGGTGAAAGAGTAATCTCACTTGAATTTGATATATAAGAAGTTATGGGCTGGTTTAGCAGTTCAAATAAAAGTTTAGGACAGTAGGAGTCTTAAGAAACCTTGTTATCACAAGGACAAGGGACACAATAACTGGGAAGTTTAGCCAACAAGTCAGAGCTTAGTTGAGCCAACTTGAGTCTAAGATTTTTGGTAATTCTCCTACCTCTTTAAAAATTCAGTATTAAAGAGAGGAGGGTTTTATGAAATACATTAAAATTTCCAGATACATGTTTATATATATATATATATATATAATATCAAGCCAGCCATTTGAAAATCATCTTAATCTGTTTCATTTCTAAACTCTTGAATGCATAAAACTGTTATATGGAAACAATAACAAGTTTGATAAGATATGAGAAAGTGAGACAGTTAAACAACTCCATATTTTGTATCTCAATATTAAATTGATAGAAAATTCTGTCCTCTTAATGTGGTTTACAGTTATTTCATGTACTATGAAAGCGTATATACCCTCTGGTCTACACCTTTTTATTTCATCATATTCTGAAGATGACACCCATCCAGGGCCTCTTGAATGCTAAACAAATGGGGGTCCTACCACTGAGCTACTTCTGTAGTCCCAGAAAATTTCTTATGAAACATTTTGTATCCTCATTTCAATATAAAATAATATATATTTTAATCTGTAGAATTCTAAGTTCTCAAATATACCTTCAATTTTTGGAATATGTAGACTTCATAGAATATAAGTAGAATAGTAATTTCAAATGTCAACTAAGAAGCTAAATGATTAGCACACTTATTAGTATAGATATTTTAATCATAGCTAACACATTATAACTAGTTTTAGACTTTTTTGGTGTACTAGCCTAAATAAAAAAATCTCACTTCTTTAGGATGAAAAAGCAGAAGGATTCATCAGTCTGCCTGAATTTAAAATTGATAGAGCCAGTGAATGCCGCAAGAAATAGTAAGTTGATTTTATTTTGGGAAAGGGAAAGGAAGGATAACATTTTTTCCAGATTTTAAGTTGTAAGTTAATTATTTCATGTTTTCAAATTGATATTATAAGAAAGCAGTTTGGCAGGGGCATAACATTGAATTTTTACTGATTTCTGTCATCATGGTAGAAGCATTGTATATGTGAACTCAGATTAGCTATGGTAATAGTTTTACCCTTAAAAATTATTTGGTTTCGGCCAGCAAGATGACTCAGTGGGTGAAAGCACTTTCTATGCAAGCCTGATAACCTGAATTCGATCCCCAGGACCGATGGTGGAAGGAGAGAATCAACTCTGACACACCTGCTGTGGTATGCCCCTGCCCAAACACACACCAACATACACCAGTAATAGTAGTAGTAGTAGTAGTAGTAGTAGTAGTAGTAGTAGTAGTAGTAAAAATCTTTTAATTATTTGATTAAAAAAAAAACTGACTCTTCCTCTCCCAGCAGCAATCAAATGCCAATAGCTACTCTGCTAGGACTGGAGCTTCATGCCCACCTCCACCCTCCTCTGTTTAGCGGTTTTGTCTACCTTGTGCTTCAGCGGGTCTTGTGAATGATGTCACAATTGCTATGAGTTCATATGTGTAACTGCCCTTTCTGGAAAACACTGTTTCCCACACGCAAGATTATATGGGCAACACAAACTGGACTCAATGGGTTTTTTTTTAAGAACACGAAGTTGGATGGTTAGGGAGGTGGGGTGGATCTGAAAGGAGGTGAGGGAAGGGAGGGTGTCTATGATCAACGTACATTTTATGAAGTTCTCAAAGAAATGATAAAAATAATTTAAATTTTATTTAATTTAAAACTATTCCTATTTACAATAAAATGACTGTACATTGTTTTCTGTTTTGTTTTTTTGCAGTGCATTCAAAGCTTGCCATCCTAAAATCAAAAGCTTTTATTTTGCTGCTGAACATCTTGATGATATGAACAGGTCAAGTATTATTTACATTTTAAACTGCTTAATTCAGCCTACAATTGTAACTTTCTTCAGTAATGTTTGGATAAATAATGCCACTGGAGACTCTACACTGACTATTTAAAAATTTACTGGTCCAAGTTATAGTTCCATGTGATCATACCTAATTTTAAAGAACAACATTTTCCTAAATTATGTTTTAAACTCTACATATACACAATACAGTTATTTTGAAATAATAATAAAGACTAACATTTTAAAAGTCCAACTTCTGTTGACTGTCAGATTACCACAGAAGTATCATAACCCATAGATACATCCAAAATATTGCCACAAAAAGCTTTTGAGGCACTTTTTTTTGGTATTTTTGAGACAGGGTCTCCCTATAGCCTCAGAACTTGCTATGTAGACCAGGCTAACCTCAAACTCACAGAAATTTGCCTGCTTCTGCCTCCTGAGTGCTGGGATTAAAGGCATGTACCACCACGCCCAGGCTCAGACATTAATTTTTTTAAACATCTTTTTGTTGTTGTTTTATTTTATGTGCACAAGTGTTTTGTCATGATGTATGTATGAGCACCATGTATATGTAATGCTCAAGGAGGCCAGAAGAGGGTGTCAGATCCCTTGAAAATTATAGAAGGTTTTTAGGCACCATATGGGTGCTGGGAACTGAACCTGGGTCATCTGCAAGAGCAGCCAGTGTACTTAACTGCTAAGCTATCTCTCCAGCCCTTAGACATTAATTTTAAGAATATGTCTCAAAATTTATTTCTTGGTGGCTAAAAAAAGTACACAAAAACTTGACTTTTCAAATGCTAGGTATATTTGATAGAATATCCAATTCAGTAATTCAAGCCTAAGTAAAATAATTCTCCTTATCACCTTGCATCTGTCACTGGACAGTATTGTACAGCCCACTAATTCTGATGGTTTTGTGGTTAGTTCATGAAAACCTACACATATTTTTCATCATATGCCCCTTTATTTCACATTTTAGCTTTAGTCTTTATGAGTTTCTTTCTTCCCTTTAGTTTCTCCTCCACATTTAATAAAATTGTAGAAATGGAGTTTAATATTCTAATTTTTCTCCTTTAATTTCAGCAGCTAGTGATTATTACATATATAACCTGTCTACAGTTATGAAGAGGTAGCAAACCACAGTGACCAGAAACTTGCGCCTTTTAAACAAAACTGTCTAAATCCCCTCTTTAGCTCTTATTAACTATGCAACCTTACACAAAAAAAACTTCACCTCTCTATAATAAATTATTGACCCTTTTATAAAATGAAAAAAACCCCACTATCCCTCTCAGTACGTTTTTTTTTTTTGCAAGGTGCAAATGCTACTTAAGTGTTCACTGTCAGTATATGTTATTTTAATATATTTTGTTCTCTCACCTCATTTACTTTCCTTTATATGTCTCAAAACTGGTATCCAAGTATTTTAAGCACAAAAAATGTGTTGCTTCATAAATATATTTAGGCCCAGTACGTGAGCATTTAATGTTCTATTATAAATAGACTTATTCTTTGACATCAGGCAATACAACCATGGTTTTTGAAAAACAGATATGAAAAGAAATGGCAAAGAAAGGGGATGTTAAAAACACTTGATTAAATCTCTTATTAATAAAGGAAATGCCCTTTTATGTAGTTTCCTTAACTTTGATTGATATAATTTACTATTTTTTTGACTGACTTGTTAAAGTATGGCACACTTATTTTTTTCATTTTTAATATTTTATTGAGTTTTGTGCATTTCATATAATACATCTTAATCAAATTTAGAACCCCCCTCCCCACTCTCTCTAGTCCCCTCCACCAGATTTCAGGTATTTTGTCATGTGTGTTAAGTCCTATCCAGTAGGACTTAATTTACTATTCTCAAAATTTCATGCTAGCGCAATTTTCAGAGCTTTTTCTCCTTGCTCTCAAAGTGAAAATGTTTATTCATTCACCTGCACATGATGGACTTGTGATTCTCTATTTTGTACTTTAATTAATGTATAATTCTACTGTTCTAGGCCCTTGCTATCTGTTTTAGTAAATGATACACTCAGTGCCCTTGGGATAAATATAAAAGGTTTGCAAACCTTTATGCTCAAATTAAGAACAAGAGACATGAGTATCTCTATCTCACAAGATAAATGCATTAGGTTCCAACAGCCTTCCTCTAAGAATTAAATGATTTAATCATTCCTGATACATGCTAGTTGGAACCATTTTAGCTTAGAAATTGTCCACTTAAAATGTATTTTGTCAACTATAAATCCCTTCTTGGCATCCATTTGCTACTCCATGTTCACACTATATTTAAAAGGATGTTGATGTCACTGCTTTTCTCTAAGACTTCTAGGGATGTCCCTAGTTCTATATACTCTAGAAGAAACTAAACCAAACCTGTGTCACTCATTTCAGTACTTTAAGTAATGAATCAAAGAAAAGATGCAGCTAATCAAAAATGTCAGCTCCACATTGTACATTTAAAATGATCTTTTCTGCATAAGACGTTCCATAATATACTTCACCTTTCTGCATTAAAATGACCTAAAATCCTAAAGTTTTTAATTTAATTATAATGTCTTAACTGTTTTCTCTTTTTTTCCCTCTCTATTCTTAGTTCTAGTATTTGCTTTCAGTGGGCATATTTTTTTTTAATTAGTTGTTAGTAGAAGGAGAAAAGAATCGGTGTTAAAAATATTCCCAGAGGATTAGCGATATGGAGAGACACCCACACACGGCTTTGCTCAGTCACCTGATTGTTACATAACAACAAGATAATGTGGGTGTTGATTTATTCCATAAGTAATGTTTTAAATCATCACCTAATTCTCCAAGAGGAGATATATTTTTAAATAAACGTAATTACAGTAAGCATATGCTTTATCTGATTATTTTATAATATCAAAAGCATTATCATTTCTATTTGTATGAAATTGCACCATGGTGCAGAGTGCTATATATTTCTCCTCCAGATATTTAAAAAATGATGTCAGAAGTAACAGGACCTAGTAATAAAAATGTTTAAGTATTCCTTAAATTCAATTTTTAATAAAATCTGTGAGTACACAGATATATACATTTTCCTGAATATATGTAGATATGAATATGTACATAGAATATTTAAACCTCACTTTGTATTTTGAGTAGTTATGTTTTCAAGGTAACTAGAAAAGCAATTTTCAGTACCTTTCTACCATTCATCTGTTCCTTCAGTAATGAACACCAAAACATTCTCAAGAAGAATACATTATCTGAAATCCATAGGGAGAACACAAAATATCCTGATACTGACTTGCTGAAATATTTTGGCCTGTAGATTACTGACTGACTTCTTACCGCTATTTCCCTCTCAGTGCATTAGTCTGTGTCACTCTGGGCATTTCATTAAAATGATTACTGTAGACAAAATATCCCCTTACCTATGTGTTCTTGTCCTGAAGCATTGGAATATGGTAACATACTGAACTTGGAACTAATATGCAAGAACTTCCACATTAATATACCTGAAAGGATTCTAAACTGGATACTTATATTCCTTACCTGCTTAGCTAACGTAGACTAAAATTAATTTCCTATTATCTTTAATATTCTAATTTTTACCTTCCTTGCTTTTTAAAAAAATACCATGTGCTACGACTTCATATATGCTTACTTTTATCCCTATTTATTCCCTGCCTCCTTCACTAAGATACAGGCATCATACAGAGAGGTACTTTGTTTTATGTGTATTCTGAGTGCCTAGAACAGTACCTGGCACACTCAGGCTCTCAACAAATAACTTCCAGAATCAGTACATGTATATCTGCTTTCATGGCAGTTTAAAATAGTGAGTAATAATTATGCCAAGTTCATCGGTCAGTGAGATTCTTCCAGCTTGAGCTCTATGGACGGGTGTATCGAAGACAACTGCAACAAGTATCTAGTAGTCAACCTTTTCTGGCTATATACCTCAGCCTCTTATAAACATAACCTTTTTGTCTAAAACTTGCCTAGGCTTCCAATTGTCTTAGAAATTCTGACAATCTATAGTTCAGTGAAAACAAGAGCCATGCCTTATTCATTTCTCTATCCCAACACAAACATGTAATAAAGGATAAATTGAAAACTGAAGAAGCCCCTCTTAAGAACTCTAATTTTCTTCAGAATTCTGAGAAAAAGGTCAGTATTTTTAAAGTAGTAAATACAGAATACTGGTCTAAATGTCAATGATGAATTTTCTTTTACTGTTCCTATCACCCTATTCACCCTAACAGCATCAGACCAGTCTTTCCCAAGAATTGTTAGATGTGCCATATAATGTAAAATCAACCCCTTTTCTTGTTACAAATGAACTATATATTAAATTTTAACTTTGATGTTTTGCTTGTAGTTAGTCATTTTTCAAAGGTAATTGATCATGAAGTTGATTTCTTGATTTATAATTTATAACCTACTAAAGTGTAGTGTGAGGGAATTATTGAATTTACATGAACAGTATTTTATTCCATACTGATAGGACTCCAGTTCATTCTTCATTTTTGCACATACTGTAGGGTGATAATTACATGGTATGTTTTTGTAAATTGAAGTTTGGCTTCAAAGTAACTTTTTCTTAAAACTAACATTTAAATTTCAATGGCTTCCTTTAGAGACACAAGCTTTCCTCTCTTCAAGATATGCTAGGTACCTGATGTGCACTTAACACCACTTGGCAAAAATGGTGAACTATGTGAGTCACTTAAAAGAATTCATCTTCAGTTGAAGGGAGTATAGGATCTAAGGCAAACATATTCTCAAACACAAGTTTTCTTAAAAATATTTCTATATGAGATCATTCCACAACTTAATGATGCTAACTCTACTAGTATTTCCAAAATTATTTAAGTTAGTTTAAAAGATGAGTTCTTCCCAGTTTCTGATCTGGGAAAGTACGTGGACCATTGCTCAGAGCTGCCCAGTGGGAGAGTGTCACTTCTGTTAAACATTTTGTGATCTGATCATCTAACACAGTGTAAATTCTTGGAATAATGAACCCAGGAAGTAGCATGAAATAAAGAACTGAGGTGGTGCTTTGCTTCAGTCAACAGCAGCAGTGGTGAATGAAGGGGGAAAAGAACTAAAAGAAACTAACTCACTGTTATTTATGAAAAATCATTTTCTAGATCCAAGCAGATTAAAATTATATATGCACTTTCTATCTTTAGGCAACTAAATACACTTGTGTTTAGAGATAAGTTTCTAAAGTACTTCTGAGCTATGTTTCCCCTTGGACTGTTAACCTAAATGAGCATAATGAAAACTATTATTTCATGGTAAACTATTGCTTTTGCAGAAAAGGTCCATAAGTTTTTCTGCTATCCACATACATTGTATTAGATATTGTTTAAACATCTCCTAAGGCACATTTGTTCTGAAGAAACAGAACAGCAAGAATCTTTGGAATACTGATATAGTTAGACGAAATAATTCATATGGCTTTGGTCATCTCAAAACCCTCTATATTTCAAACATTTACATGACTGGACCATTGCATTAACATCTTTTGTGGGGGATCAGGTTTTATTAGAGCAAATTATGGCTCATTGAAGACTTCAGATTTATCAAAATTAGCAAAGAACATGTCTTATAGGTAGGATTAACCTATATATGCTTAGAAATTTTACAAGATGTATTGTTACCAAGTATAATAAATTATTGATTTTTGAATTCTTTTTCTAGGTGGCTTAACAGAATTAACATGCTGACTGCAGGATACGCAGAAAGAGAGAGGATTAAGCAAGAACAAGGTAAGTGAATACCTTTTATTTTACGTTTGTGTTATACATTTTTCTTACATGAGAAGGCAGAGCCAATGGGGAAATGGTTTTGGAGATACTGATCAATGATCGTTGATATAAAGTTGATAGTGGAGAGGAAGAGAAAAATATTGAATGAAATATTAAACGTATTTCTGTAAAAGACCCTCAGTAGCATCTGTAGTTGTAGGGAAATGTAAGCACCCATCCTGCCTGAAATTACATTACCTTCTGGTCCAAAAGTTAGTCTAAGTATTATAAAGAACATGGAATATAACATATAAATCAGGTTCGAGAAAATGAGGCTAAAGACAATCCTTCCAAGAACGGGGAAAAGATTTGTGTTAGCTCTATTTCCTTAACTGATTTTCATAAGATGGAAATGACGTGGACTGAAGACAGTGTTCCAGGGAATGGAAGAAACAGGAATAATTTCACAAATAATGTACAAGTCATACCCTAGTTAGGTTTCTGTTCTGTGATAAAAGCAACCTTGGGAGGAAAGGGTTAATTCATTTTACAACTCCTAGGTCACAGTCCCGTCACTGAAGGAAGTCAGGGCAGGAACTCAAGGCACTAGCCTTGAGACAGGAACTGAAGCAGAGACCTTGGAGGAATGCTGCTTACTGGCTTTCTTCCTCTGGCTTGCTCAACTAGTTCTTACACAGACCAGGCCTACCTGGCCAGAGGTGGCATCACACACAATGGGCTGGGCCCTCCTACATCAATTAGCAATCAAAAAATTGTCCTACAGGCCAGTTTGACAGAAGGGATTCTCTCTTCCCAGATGTGTCAAATTGACAACCCGAAGCTATGTAGCACAAGCCAGCTTCATCAAATCAATGTGTACAAGCAAACTTCACCCAAAATTATGCTGCATTGTGTTTTGATGGCTAAAACATTCTTCAGTATAATTTATAGGCCTAAGTTTATGGTAAGAGTATAAAAAATATCCGCCTTCCATTTCAAATTTCTTTAGAAGACATAGAATGGCTCTTTAAGGGTGTTTATAATTGTCTGATTTTTGTAAAGATATAAGAGTTGAAATTTTGGGCACTATATAGATAGGAAAATTAATGTAGAAAATATCATCTTGCATAAATTGCCTTGTGTTTTCTGGCTTTACTTCAGAATCTTACGATTTGTCATTGCTTTGAAGTTGAACATGATCTTGATTTTAGTGAATTTCCTTTATTATATAACCAAATTTCGTTATGGGTAAAAGACCTAGTTAAGCTATATTGAATATGGGCATTCCAAAGAGTACTTATTCTGTGAATTCATGCTACCTTGGTCCATTGTGTGAGTATATATTCCAATGCCTACTAATGTGTGGTAGAAAAATCATATGCAGACACAGTTACAATTCACGTCTCTCTGGCTAATGTAATACAACAAGAATTCTTGCTATTTCCATAGTGTGTATGTCCCTAAGATACTTTAACATACCTCAGGAACATGATAGACTTACATATGGTTAGGTCTCTTGGTGTTCTGCTTAGGAACTTATAGGCATCCATGTCTATTCCGCACTTCCACAGCTATTTGACATTTTCTAAGCATCATTCTTAATATTGTGGTTAAGCTTCACACTAAATACTGTTCTTTGAAGTTAAGAGTAGAACAGTGATGACCAAAGACTATTAAGAATTTTAAGTATGGAGTGGAGAAGGAGTAATGAATAAATACTAAGTTCTAAGTATGTAACAGTAAAAAGTAAAAGTTCTAGTATGCTATTGTATGGTAGGACGGATAGTGATAATGATGATACACTCTACATTTCAAAAGGCTAGAAAAAAAATCTTGTTTTTACCATAAAGATGATAATTGCTTGAGGTCTTTGTAAAGCTTCCCATGAAAGTGAATGATATTTCTTTGGCAGTTCTAAATGAGGTGATCCATTTTTAAAAATACATCCTTTTGTGCCAACATACAACAGTAAAAAGGATGTTTCCTTTTTCTCGTGATGGCCATGTTTATTCATGATTACTTACAAAGTTGTATATCATTGCAGGAGGCATTAAAATACCCATTTATTTTATTTTAAAGACCTAAAAATATTAATTTTAATTTATTTGCTCTTAGGGAAAAAATAAGAGCAGTTTCAGCCTCTTCACTGCAGTGTGTATCATTTTTCACACATACCCAAAGAGCCTAATGAAATTTTCAGTGTAGCCTCTTTTCTGGCATTGTGCTCTCCCTCCCTCACAACTTAGCTTAAGAAGTTAATTTGTAAAGTGTTGTCTCTGCTTTTGCCAAAGCAACTCGGGAAATTTTTAAGTTGATAGTGCTTTTTAGGAAACCAAAAAATGCATCAAATAGGGTTTTAAATGCTTTCTAATTTAGTTGAGGAGAAAAAGAGAAATACCCCAAATCTCACACTTAGGAAGACAGCAATGGAACCCAGGAAAAATGCTGATCATGGTTTTTCAGTGTGCTCATAAGGACCATTTGAGGTATTAATGCCTCAGGACCCTAAGGTATCAATGCAACCATTAAGGATAAAGTCAACCAGAGTGTTTGGAAATAGTGAGAAGGATAAGGATAAAGTGATCTTGGCAAGCTCAATGCTTTGTGTGCGGTGTGATGGAGTTCTAGTGCTAACTTCCCAGGAGGATTTCAGTTTCACAAAACTATCCAACCCAGACCTAGGACTCCATATTTCACTCTTCTTGCTGGAAGCTGCTACAAGGAAAAAAAAACCTAATGTCTGTGTAGGTGAACATCAGGCATTTATGGCCTTTGTGATCTATGTCAGACTGTCCTGGCATACAATATACAAATGTACCCCAAAAGATAAGTAGTCCTAATATTTATTGAATGATGCAAACACTGCAATTACATTACTTTATTTAATACACACACAACTTTGAAAGTCAGTTTTATTATTAGCTACTCTTTTACAGATTACAAAATACCCAAAGAGTTTAAAGAATGGTTATAAGAGCACAGATCTATTGAGCTGTGTGTATATGTCATGATTTTTGCACTGCCATTTGCTGGATCTGTTTCTGGGCACCTATGTGAATTCTTATTTGAGTGAGGACTTAGCTATAGTTGTGGTCATTGTCCAGTATCTCCATTGTGGGTTTTTTTGCTGGGAGGGACTTACTGAGGTGAGGTTTAGCTATGTAGCCCAAGCTGGTCTCAAACTTAGAACCCTTCTACATAAGCCTCTTAAGTGTTGGGGTTACAGGTATATACCACCATGTCCAGGTTTCTGTTGTTTTTCCAATAGAATGTCCAGATACCTAATTAAAATTAACTAGACCTTGCTTGTTTTTTACTCAATGGGAATGAAAATTTTAGGGCCTTATGTTTTAAGGCCTGAGTATAATGAACAATAAATTTTATGTCCAGTCTCCATTGCTGAAGAGTTTCTTTTCATAGTAAACTGAGTTAAAAATTAGGAAGTAGCAAAGGAGATTAAATGACATCAGTACAATTCACACTAAGCTTTCCTGATGTGTTAGATTAAAAAATTCCCAGAAACTTAGTTCTCAAAGCTTTAGGTCAAGGCAATTTCTTAGTTCAAACCCCATCTTCATTACTTTCTACTGGCATATAGTAACTTAAAAATGTTCGCTATACTCATATTTGGTCAGCATCACAGGGAAAATAATACAATTGAGAATTTCTGGAAAGATAAGGGTTCCTGTAAAAAGTGTGTGCTGTGATTTTTCACATGAATCTGAAAACTACTTGAGCCTTGTGATGGTTGTTCTTTATTTAAATTTTCATAAGAATAAGAAACCTTTTAATACCATTTCTTTAATCTGGAATCACTTTGGGTAAGAATTCCAGCTTTTGCTTGCAAATTGCATAAAGAATTAACACAGCAGTTCTATCTGTGGTATTAGTGGAACTGTTTCTGATTACTGACCATTTGTTGCATTTGACTTATGGTAGTAATATGTCTGTCAGAGCTGTTTATCCTCCCTCTTGCCTCAGATCTGCCAAATAACTTTGTCTAGCAGCGTACATTTTCTACTCTTAAGCAGTTCTGGAAGTTTGGTACTTGTAGCTTCCATCAGTAGGTTTGTCCTTTTGTTTTTGGCAAGATTTATGCTTTGCCATGTGTTTCTAAGGATAGGTGGGAGTATGGTGTTATGAAGCTTCATGTCAGCATGACTCTAGAAAACAGTGATTGTTAGATAACCAGTGAAGTGAAGCCAGAAAAAAAAGAATTTAGAACATTATTTTTGGAGATGTTTACATCAGTAAAGATATACAGCAGTGTGTGGGTATGTATTGCTTTTCTTCTTTGAATATTCACCAGGATAAATTGATAAAACTTTAAGAATCGTCATTTGATCTTATTTATTAAAGTGTCAGAGTAATTTGGTCTAGAAACAAGAGAACGCTGAGTCTGACTTGGCTTATAGAGTGCCTTTTTATTGACCCTATAAAACTAGCTGTGTGTATAATCATTGGTTGAAAATGCTGTTGGGAAGAGGTTATTGTGTTCTACTGCAAATAATTACAAATGAAACTCATTGACTTGGGCAGACCAATGATGAAAAACATGTTGTAGTAATGAAATTTAAATTTCTTTTTTCTTAAATGATAATGTATATTCCTGGGAGATGCCCCTAGAGAAACTTCATAAAATGGTGAGGTCTCTGTGTCTGTAACTTTTCAGATTACTGGAGTGAGAGCGACAAAGAAGAAGCAGATACTCCATCAACACCGAAACAAGACAGCCCTCCACCCCCATATGACACGTACCCACGGCCTCCCTCAGTAAGTTCAAAACATCTGTATTTAGTATGTCACGAGATTGTTTGAGCTGAAAAAAATCCCTTTATGTGTAAAAGAAAATATATTTAATTATAAGTGAAACTCAGATTTCCTAGGGAAAAGGAAAATTGGAGAACTAAAATCAGAAGGAAAATATGTTAAAGTTTCCAAAAAATACTTGATCTAGAGAAATAGTCACCACAGACTCTAGGCAGAGTGGGTGAATATGTGAACAATTTTATTAACAAAAAGACTGATAGTTTCACAATAGCCTTCAAGGAGTTAAAAACAAAATGTTTCCTTATAAAAGGATATATGAATCTCTTATTTATTACATACTAATGAAGTTAGATTTCTTTTATATACATATATATGTATATAAAATGTGCTTTGACATGTAGTATTTTCAATAGCCATGGTATCTGTTTAATGTATATGTTTATGGTGTACCACAATTCTTAAATCTGTGTAACTTACCCAGTGTATACACTATACTGCTTCAATCTTTTAATAAGATAAATAATTATCTTGATTTTCATAAGACTGTGACACTTTATGTCTATTTCCCATCAGAATTACTGAGAGTATCCCAGTGTCCCAGTTTAATGATTTATTTCATGGTCATGTTGCTGTAATAATCAATTCTGTGTACCTTGGGATTTAGTCTTCCACAAAAGAACAGGAAGCTGAATTTAGATGACAGCAATAGTCAACCTAATTCAAGCTGTTTGCATTATTCCAAGGAGCTAATTCGTATGCCCTCTCTTTCTTTAAAAATACTAGAATCTGAACAATCCTTTTGAAATCATCATAAAAGGGAAAGGAGAATCAGAGCTTCACTTTTTTTAAAAGATATTATTTTTAATTACTTTACCAAGAAGTAGATTTCCATATGGCCTTTTCATACATCCTTAGCTTGTTTAACCCTACCCTATCCTCTCTTCTTCCCACCCTGCTTCCCCATCCCTTAAACCTTTCCCTCTGCACTATTCCATAACTCTCCTATGACTTTTGTTCTGTCTGCCTATTCAATGCCTCTTTTTTCCTTTGCATGACAGTAGTATCTTGAAAATAAACTATTCATGTTATCATTATAAATTAATATGTTGAAAGGTAACCATTTGCCCACAGATGATAGTAATTTATCAGTATCAGGGCTCAGTAAAGGGGTGGCCTGTAACTTCATCTCAGCCACGTGTGTTCTAGCTGCCACCTCAACCCGATTGGTGATGATCACATTTAACAAATCTGGCTCCTCCTTCCAGAATGGCACCTACAGGAGCCTGCTGGCCTCTGTAGCTAGAGTAAGGCTTGTCCCAGGTAGACTGCTGCACTGCAAATACTTCACAATGTTTTCTTGATGCTAGTCTTTTTTCCTGTTTGTGCTTTTTTCTATAATATATCTTCCCAAACTTTAAATTCATGCATAAGAAATTCCAATTTGGGGGGCTGGAGAGATGGCTCAGAGGTTAAGAACACTGACTGTTCTTGCAGAAGACCAGGATTCGAATCCCAGCACCCACATGGCAGCTCACAACTGTCTGTAACTCCAGTTCCAAGGGATCCGACAGCCTCTTCTGTCCTCCGTGGGCATTGCACAACATGGTGCACTTACTTATATGCAGGCATAACACTCATACACATAAAATATAGTAAATAAAATATTTTTTAATTCCAATGTTGTTTATATACTCTATACCTTGTATGCTCTTAGCAAATCCTAATTTTCAAAAAAATATAGTGTCATCTCACCTATATTTTCAATTCTCCAGAAAGTACCGTAGACATAGACATAAGACCGTAAGACAGCTTTTCAGTAGCACCCATGGGAGCAGACATTCACCTAAGAGGCTTTACTCTGTTTATAGACAGCTTGTTCTCCCAGACAAAGGTGCTGTCTTCCCTTCACCCCCAGCCCCCCACAAGCTACACAAAAGCCAGAAACCCAAATGTATGAGAAGCATTTCTTTAGACTTTCAAAACATGTAGCTTTTAAAATTATATAATTGTGTAGTTGCTGAATATTTCTTACATAAACATTTACATTTTCTCATACCTTCATTATGAAATTTGTACTAACGTGTCAGGTTTTTCATGGACATGTTATAGCTATATCTCAAGACATCTGTGTTTCTGACTCTTAAAATTCAACGTAAGCTGCCATCTACCTTCAAGATGTCTACAAACTTGCTTAGTTGTTATTTGACTGTTTAAGAATCCATCCGTGTAAATACTCCATGTTAAAGACCAAACACTTTCTTGGCAATAAAAGCAGTCTGTTTTATCCGTGGAAACTGATGAAAGACTCTTTTCCACAGATGAGTTGTGCCAGTCCTTATGTGGAAGCAAAACACAGCCGGCTTTCCTCCACAGAGACCTCTCAGTCTCAGTCTTCTCATGAGGAGTTTCGCCAGGAAGTAACTGGGAGCAGTGCCATGTCCCCCATTCGCAAGACAGCCAGTCAGCGCCGCTCCTGGCAGGATTTAATTGAGACACCGCTGACAAGTTCAGGCTTACACTATCTTCAGACTCTGCCCCTGGAAGATTCTGTCTTCTCTGACTCGGCAGCCATCTCCCCTGAACATAGGCGGCAGTCCACTCTTCCAACTCAGAAGTGCCACCTCCAGGATCACTATGGGCCATACCCCTTAGCTGAGAGTGAGAGGATGCAAGTGTTAAATGGCAATGGAGGCAAGCCTCGAAGCTTCACTCTGCCTCGAGATAGTGGGTTCAACCACTGCTGTCTGAATGCACCAGTTAGTGCCTGTGATGCACAAGATGACATACAGCCACCAGAGGTGGAGGAAGAGGAGGAGGAGGAAGAGGAGGAGGAGGAGGAAGAGGAGGAGCCAAGAATGTCAAGAATACGGTAAAGAGCCCCAGAAGCTATGAGGTTGGGAGGGGAGGCAGCAGGGGAAAACATAGGAGAGAAAAGTAAGTATGTTCATGGAAATTCTTAGCATCTGTACACAAAGTCATAAACTTTCAAATTTCCTGTTTGAAGAAAATAAGACTATTTCCCTTTAAACAATAATAATGGTCTTGCTGCATAAGTTAGGCATCCCTTGCTGCCCTACTTGAGCAACATGGGGAAGATGACACAAATAAAGCTTATATACCAGGACACCACCACTGGAACAAACTTTTTTTTTTTCTCCTTAGCTGGGTGTGGTGACACACACCTTTAATCCCAGCACTCGAGAGGCAGAGGCAAAGGCAGGCTGATCTCTCTAAGATCAAGGTCAGCCTGGTCTATAAAGTGAGTTCCAGGCCAGCTGGGGTGACAGGGAGACCGTGTCTCAAACACCCCCAAACTTTCTTCCTACTCCCTATTTGCTTTTTAAGGTAGTAGTCCCTTCCCTTATCTACTTTCTTCTCACTTGCATAGATCATCTCGTCAGTACACAATGATTGCCCTCTAAGTTTGGCTTAAGAAACTATAAATGTTTCAAGTAGGGTGTTAGCAGAACCTTGGTTGAATAACTGAATACATACAGACACACACGCCCCCCCACACACACACCTTCACACATATATTTATATCTTTCCTTTCACTGTCAGATTCAAAGGAAGAGTCCAAAAGACACATTTTCCCCCAAAGGGAAGTTTCATGCAGCACTAGAAACTAATTCGCGAAAAGCATCCATCTCCTTTGTTGGTATGTACACTGATTACAAAGCTCAATTTATGGATATCAACTCTAAAGAAAAACAAGTTAACTGAGTAACCCTCCGGGGTTTTTTTCACCTTAAAATATTTTTTTTGCAGCCAGGTATAGTGATGCATACCTGGAACACCAGCACTTGGGAGGTAGAGGCAGGAAGATCACCAGCTTGAGGTCATCCTCAGATAGTGACGGCAGATAGAAAGCAAGCCTGGACTGCATGAGACCCTGTAACAAACAAAAAGTGTTTTCTAGCTATCAGGTTTGTGATACAGCATGTCAATACCAAGCTTCTGTTTATAAACAGAAACCCTGGCTTAAGGGAAAGGCTTAGAGCAGTTATTTCAGTTAGCAAAGATCTAGCTATAAATCCTAACGGTAAGATGAAGATTATAGATAACTACCATTAAACTCTTTATTTAAATACAATCAAAACCAATTAGTGCAGATGAATAGAGCCAATGGTGATGATACAGGTTACTTGTTTGGTCCCTTTAAGGCATTGCATTCCTCTTTAAAAGACAGAAATAAAATGTAGCATTCAACCCATTTGTCAAATATATGGGACTTTGATTACCGTTGTATTAGTATAAGATTTTCATTACAAGTGGTAAAACAACTAAAAGCTCCCAAGTTACTAACAGGTCAGGAGTCTCATGTCACTGTGAAGCTTGGCTCCTTTAAAAGGAGAGTCATGTTGGAAACGATTTTCAGAAGAATGCATTAGATCACCTCTTATGCTATAGATCTTCATTGCATGACTTAATGGGAATTCTATGTCTTCTACAAACAAAATACAAGAATCTCTCATAATAAAATTCACATGCTAAGGCAGTTTCTGTATGAAGTCTAGAAGGTCTTAGCCACAATGAAACATTACAATAGACATATTGTCCATATAAGAAAAGTAATTAGCTTCCATTAACTACCAAACCCTCTCAACATTCACATCAGAGATTATAGAAGAGTCTTACTGAGGAATTATTTAAGAGTCATGCTATGCCTTTATAGTTCTGCCAAGCCTTATATGTGTCTAGTATTCCAGTGATTACCAGAGAAATAAATTCTTTTCTAAATGTTAAACATTACTTAGAAAATCCATTTTAATTCTCAACCAGGTACGTTAAAACAGCTATAACTAAATATGTGAGGTTAACACCAGGCATGCTGGTGAACACCTTTAATCCCAGCACTCTCAATGCAGAGACAGACGCATCTCTGTGAGATGGAGGCCAGCCTGGTCTACATAGTGAGTTCCAGGTGGACTGGGGCTGAGGAGACCATATCTCTTTTATGTTGTTCTGTGGCTAGGATTTGTTTTGGCCATATAGATGCACTCCTGAGTCAGTAGGATTTTTTAAAAGTTCAGGTTCCAGGTACGTTAAGTGCATACTTACTTGATACTGTCCATCTTTTTGAGTGAGCTCTCTTTGTAGATCAGACATGATAAGGTAAAATAATTCTAGTAAGTAAATAAATTTAGTATTTTCCGCTTTGTCTTTTCAATGAAGTGCTGTGGGTCAGGCCATGCGATTTCATCAGATGTGCTTCAATAGAGTACTCGTGTGCTATCTTTTAGGCCCCATCCATTTATTTCTCGTTACTTCTCCATACATCTTCCCACTTGATTTCTCAGTGTCCTTCAAACATTTCTCAATAGAGTAGTGTATTTCATGCTTACCTAGATTTTACTTATTCAGCACAATGTGTGCTCACCTCTCTAATGATGAGGGGGTTTATTTGCATTGCTGTTTCTAAATATTTGGTAGTATACAATTTGATGAATGTTTCATTTAGGAAAGATTCTCTTTAAAAGTCAGTATTTTCAAAAGTTCAAGTTAAGGGGCATCAAATTCACAGCTTTCATGGATTGGCCACTAGGAATAAATGTGAAGGCTGTTTTTCAAACCAAGCTGCTTAGTATTATACCAGAAGCAGAAATTATGCACAGAGCAAGAAGCCTATAACCATGGCATCAGCCTCAGACATACCTGCACACCCTCTGACACAGAGCACTGACTATGTGGCCACACAGATAGGCAGGCAATGTGGACTTAAAAAAATTGAAGTCTACCGGTAGTATATTACTGTCCTGCTTGAGGCCAGCATTCAGTGGAATCTTCTGAAGAGAATGTGTACGAATTCAGGTACAGATGGATAAAGGAAAAAGGTGTAATGTCTCTAGATCCAAATATTTTTCTTTCATTTTGCCTAAACACTTAAAATACGAAGTATTTAGGCAGGTGAGCAGAAGAAGTAATAGAAAATGAGAAAGCTTAAGCTGTGTTTGCACAGTAAGGATGAAAACGTGTCATCCAATGAAACTCCTTCTCTATCATCTATCCTTTATCTTTATCTTGCCTCACGTAATGTTACACATTAAATGGTGTTTATGTGATTACAGTGAAATGTAAGAAACAAGAGATACCTAAATCCATACAGCGGATGTTTTTAAATTTCCTATGGCTGTGGAATTTAGCTGTGTTTATGAAGTATAAATTTAGCCTTTCTTAGAACAGACTTCAATCTGTGCTCTCACGGTTGAACTACCTTTTGTCTTATTTTGAAATCCAATTATTTAACTGAGTCATACTGTGATTTTCTCAGGCTGAGCTCATTTTAGTCTGAAATAGATGCTACTAAAAGTACACAGATGAGACGTGTCTTGTTTTCCTTTGACTGAAAAGTCATGCATATTAATTATCCTGACCTACTTCACTGGCATTTGGGAGAAGACAAGTAATTTCCTATTATCCCAATTAGCAATTTCAAAACTTACTGAGGTGTGGCCTTATAATATCCCCATTAGATTAAATTATTAATTATGTTAGTCTATACAACTTTCAAGGAATATAAATCATTAAAGTATATGACAAAGCATAAAGCTATACTTAATTCAAAAATCATCTGCCATAACACTAAAATACTGTCTTGGTTAATGCAGCTTGAAGTCTGCTTAGAATATCTTTCCTTCCTTTGTCATGGTAGGGAATTTAGATGAGGTTTTCATGAGCTTTATCCCTTGATCCTACTGATTTCCCCATTGTCAGTTATAAGGTAGTCTTTCTTAGCCACACATTCTTGGTGTTTCCAATTCTTTAATGAAGTCGTTCTCTTTTTCATTATCTTGGAGATTACCTATCAGTACGCTCATTTAATTTACACATGTAGTTAGCTTAGCCTTAGAAATCTAAAACAAAACCTAGGTCTTTTAGCAGGAAT